CTATTCAAATAAAATTATCTCATCTTTAACAGGTTTTCATTTATGGCCAATAATTTACCCACAAAAACGGAAGGGTGGATGATCTTTTAGATTTTTTACCCCTAAACGACACACCCTGTATATGATTCAAACAATATTCGAAGTGGAGGTTATAGCCCTGGGTATTCCACGTTTCCTGGTTCAAGAAGTTTTTGAAAATAGTAAATATATATATAAATAAATAAATAAATAAATATATATATATATATATATATATATATATATATATATATATATATATATATATATATATATATATATATATATATATATATACAGACGAAAACCGCAAATACAAAAATTGTAGCTCTTGATGCGGCCTATGACACCGTTTGAACTTTACGGTTTTTGATTTGAGGTTAATAATTTACTTTGTAAAAGAACAATTTTCTAGGTCTTTCAGATTTCTGCCTATAATTTGAAAACCCTGTTTATAATCGAAAAAATGCTCAAAATAAATGTTATTGAACGGGATCTTCCGCGTCTGCTGGAATATGGAGGAAAACATATTTTTCTGGAAGCTAAAATTGCCAAAAAGATTTACAAACATTTTTTAAAAATACTTGGTAAAATTTGATTGCGCACAATTTCTACCGTTTAAATGTGGACACGGACTTTTACTTCTCTGCTAAATTTAAAGTTTATATCTGCAAATTTAGGACGCTTAACACATTTCTCACTTAGCACGGAATATCGGGAACACCCTGTACAATAGGTGATAAAAGAACGTGAGATCCGACATAGTCTTTCAGTTATAACCAATTTTCAAAATTAATTTATTTTTAAAAAACGGCGCTTCGCTTATTCTTGTCCTGACGCATTGTTTTTCTATCGTGCTCCTGCGGACCACTATGGAACTTTCGGAAAATCGATGTAATTTTATTGTAAATACACCCTGTATAAAGTTTTCTTCGCATCTCGTCGAACTTCAAAGTTACGGCAAACTGCGGTAAATATTAAAATTTTTACTGGTAATTGCAATTTAAAATTATATTTTTTCAAATATCTCGCGCCCCCTGTATTATATATGAAACCTTAAACTCTCTCCAGATACACTTTACGATACTGTTCATATCAAACTATCACATCTTTTTTTTTTATTTATCGCCAATAATTCACCCACAATACCGGAAATTTCTAGGATCTATTAGAATTTTTTGCCCACAAACGACGTACCCTCTATATAATTCCAACAATGTTCGAAATAGAGAATATCAACATCTAGCAACGTTTCGGAGCAGCGGGACATGTGATATGTTTAGAAGAGGTGCTACCACACCTGGGAGTAGATATTGCAGAAGAGGGTTGAAATGAAGAGAGAAACCAAATAGCAAATTTGCTTTTATAACAAATAAAATATGTTTTTGAATAATTGATCTTTTTTTTTTGTAATTCGCATGAGCGCAAAATTAATTTCTTATACCCTAGCTTCCTCGATATTTGTCAGCCTTCTTCGGAGATAAAACATTCCACTCTTTGACTCCCTAGTCTTGGTACTTCTAAAATGAAAACATGTTATAAGCCTTTTTTTTTTTTAATTATACCAGTAAGAAAAATTGTTGAAATTTAACCTTCTGGGTGGATCCATCCCAAATATTTGATGTTCATTACGGTTATCAAGTTCTAGCTTACATCTAATTGGATCTTTAGGGATTACTAGTGATTTAGTTTTTTTGGCCGATATTTTCATGTTAAATTTCTTTGCATTTATATTCTGTCTCACAAAAGGTAAACGTGCAAACTAGTATAATATGTATATATAATATAATATATAATATATATTATATATATAATATATTATATACATATAATATATTATATATATTATATAATATTATATATATATATATATATATATATATATATATATATATATATATATATATATATATATATATATATATATATATATATATATATATATATATATATATATATATATATATATATATATATATATATATATATATATATATATATATATATATATATATATATATGTAAGGAACATGTTTATCAATGAAACAAAAAATCAAAGATCGAATGAGTAAGATCACGTCAAACGGATCCCCGTTTACCACTTGATCATAAAAAATTAATCTATATATATTTTTTATAAGTACTTATGAAAATTCCCTCAAACGATTTTTTAAAATTTTGATTTTAACATTTTTTTATAATGAAAATTTTAAGCACTTTTAATTAAAAAATGGATTAAAAATCAACCGTAAGAGATAAATTTATGAAATTTTCAGCATCCATGATCATTATACTTTAAGAATATATTGACGACTTCAAATTATTTGTTTATTTTCGTATTGATAACTAACTTTTAAGTTAACAAGTGAAAGTTTAACTGATTTCTTGGTAAAAAAAAAATAATGTTTTTTTTATCGGTCCCATGCTTTACACATTTAAGTTTAAGATTTCGGAAGAAAATTTCACTGCTCGTCATTAGTTTAAACAAAATGAATAATGGCTGTGGAAGCGCTGCGCTGCCGAGCGTCTCGAACTGCATTGCAGGTTTTATTAGTGATAATTTAAAATAATAACACTAAATATTATTATAAAACAAATTTTATTTTTATTTAAGTTATTTTATTATATTTATTATTAATAAAATTTTATTTTTTTTAACAATATTAACAATCATAACATACCGAATAGAACAAAGAAGCTTAAATAATTAAATTGTAAATTTGTCCTCAATTATTTTTATTTAAAAAAAAAAAACGTATTCTTTTTTTTAAATAAATACTTTTTCATCCTCTGAAACGAGTCTGCATTCTGGTGAAAAACTTTCCAATAGTTTGCAATAATGAAATTGGCGAGTATTTTTTATTGTACTTAAGCGTTCAAATCGTGTTTGGTATTTATTTTAAAAGAACTTTGGGCCCACTGAAAAAAGGAAAGTGGGGTTGTTTTTTTTTATCACTAGCACGATAAGCTTGTCTTTTTACACTCCCTGCTAAACCATCACACACTCCCTTGCCATGAGATGTAGCGAAAAAAGTCCAATCAGCATCAACATCAAAATAATTTTTATGATTAACTAAATTGGCAAAATTATATTTAAATAATAATTAAAAATAATTTTTTAATCACATAATTTCATACTTCACTCGGCCCATTTTAAATCACAAAAAATATTATTATTACAATTAAAAATTATAACACTAAAATATTACTAAAAAACACAACTCAACAGCACTTTAGTTTTTATTTTTAATAATTAATGAAGGATTTCTGAAATTATTTTGTTATTTACTAGGGTACGCGAAAAATAAATGAAAATCGTAACGGAGCGGTTTTTCTTTTGTTAACTAAAGATGGAGTGTTGACTAGTAAATTTAAAAATAATAATTTCTTACCGTACCTAGAAAAAATAAATATAGACCATAACAGTTTTTAAGATTTAAAGTTGATTATTTTTTCTAAATTTACGCTGTTTGGTAAAAATAATAAAAATATTTGATAGTATTCTTTATAACATTGTTAAAAAAATTATTAATAATAATTATAATAAAATAACATAAATAATAATAAAATTTGTTTTATAATATTTTGTGTTATTATTTTAAATTATCTCTGATAAAACCTTCAATGCAGTTCGAGACGCTCGGCAGCGCGGCGCTTTCATAAATAAATTCATTTTGTTTAAACTAAAGACGAGCAGTGAAATTTTCTTCCGGAATCTTAAACTGAATTGAAAAAACATGTTTTTTTTACCAAGAAATCAGTTATATTTTCATTTGTTAACTTTAAAGTTAGTTGATAATACGAAAATAAACAAATAAAGTATAGACATTTCACCATGGATGCTGAAAATGTCATAAATTTATCTGTTGCTGTTGATTTTTAATCCATTTTTTATTTAAAAGTGCTTACAATTTTCATTATAAAAAAAATGTTGTTAAAATAAAAAGTTGAAAAAATCGTTTGTGGGATCAATTTTCCATCATAAGTACTTATAAAAAATACATACAGATTAAATTTTTATGATCAAGTGGTAAATAGGGGGTCCACTTGACGTAATCTTACTCAATGTAGGTAGCCCTTTTTGAACACAACTCGTATGTGTAGCACGTCAAAACAAAATAAACCAATGACTGACTCTGACAAACCGATAGTAGAAAACTTTTGTAATAACAAACAATGATTGACACAGTCGAAAGCCTTTGAACGAAATTTTTAGCAAAGTAGCAACTCTTTCAGTATAATTTCAGACGTTATATAAGTGTGTTAAAAGGGCCACCAAGAAGTTAAAACATTCTTTAATGTTATAGATATCTAAGCAAGAAAATTTTTTAAAAGTTAAAATGTATATAAGGACAATTAAAGCTTTTATTAAAATAAGTAGAAATCTTATTTCAATTCAAAAGGTGAAGTGACGTCATTGCTTTTGTTTCATAGCCACCTAGACACGTATTTTTTATGGTGAGCTCTTTCGAAATATTAAATAAAAAGTGCTATTCTGTGTTTCAAAAATTAATTTGATGATCGGCACACAAAACCGAAACATCATACTTAAAACCTAATAACGAAAATCATTTAAAAAGAACTGTCTTAATCAAAGCGAAGGAAAAAAAATAAAAGAAATCCGGCCGTCTTCTGAACTAATCGGAATTTTCTCGATTTTGAAACTGGCTTAAATTGTGCATAACTTGCGCAAATACGATTTTGGGACAGTAAAGTTCGGCTTATTGAGGTTTTTTCTTTTCAACTCACAAATAGTAAGGAATTATTAGAATGTCCTTTCGTTGGTGTCAATCGTGCCATTTTATTATTGTCATTAAGGTCAAAAATGGCTACAAAGTCTTTTTATTAAAATCGGATTTACGATTTCTTGCTTAAAATTTGAGCAAAACTCGAAGGAATTTCCCACTTTCTTGCTCTACAGTCTTTCGAAATAGTCTATAAGCTCGACTGTGCACACAAAAACCAATCATTATTATTTCCAGGGCCGGCCTGCAAACGATACCTCACAACGCCAAAATGCACTACAACTACGCCAATTTTTTGAGGGACTCCTCCAGACACGAACTGGCGAAGTCACACTACTACATGTCCCTCAAGTGAGTATGCCCTGAACTGTAGCCGTATTGTTGACCTGCCAAACTTTTAGGTTGTGGCCGACGTATGCGAGCGCACACAACAACCTAGGCACGATTTTGAGAAATCGAAATGAGGCCGAGAAACACTTTCTGGCAGCTATCAAATATTCCTCTAATCACGTAAACGCGCATTACAACTTGGGACAATTGTACAGGTACATGACGATGCTGATCTATTTATTGATTTATTTCTTTAGTCATTTATTTACAAACCTAATGGCAGATATATATATATATATATATATATATATATATATATATATATATATATATATATATATATATATATATATATATATATATACCTCCGACTGGAATCCTGCAGACGTTTCGCCAAGATCTCACTTGGCGTCTTCAATGCTCTCGTTCGAAGTGTGGGTGTATGTGTTCAATTTCAGAAAAAATAACAAATCACTGGAATCGGAAAAGATGTTGAAAAGGTGCATCGATTTGGAACCGAATTTCGCGCCGGCCTATTTAGAACTGGCTCGGTTGCGGGGTCCGCACGACAGGACCGTATCGACTTTATTGAAGAAAGTGATCACTCTCAACCCGACCAATCCGTACTACCCTGCGAAATTCGCGCAATGGTTGTCGCACAAGGGTGAGTCGTAACTATTCAATTTGCGCTATTTCCAAGAGAACTTGAATACGTTGAATAACGAAGAAAGTGTCAAAAATATACACAAATACACATACATATACATAAATATACATAAAATATATAAATAAATTAAAGAAAAAAGAAATCTTTGAGTAAATTGGCAAAAAGAAAACGCAGGGATTATTTTTGATGTTTCGTAATTCCCATCTAGAATTTTAAAACTCGTTATATTAACGATATTTAGAACGAACACTGTTTTAATATTGAGACAAATTTTCCTTTCCTTTGCGTAAATATTAAAAAAAAAATTAAAAATGTTTTTTCAAATATCTCACGCATCCTGTAACTGAAACTCCAACTAAAACTGAAAAAAATTATGCCATTTTTAACAGTTGTTTACTTGTCGCCAACAATTTACCCATAAAACTTTTTAAAATCTTTTAGTATTTTTCCCATAAAATTAAAACAATGTTCGAAATAGGGGTTACAGTTCTGTATCTCTCACGTTTTCCGATATACGAATTTCTCCAATAAAATAAATGGTTTTCTATAAAATACTTGGTTTCCGAAACTATGCAGTACCGCGTAATAGTAAATGACGTCATTGCGTCCATCTTGAACGGAGTAAATACAAAAATTGTAGATATTAATGCGGTCTACAATACCATCTAAACCAATTAGCCATATTTTTTAGGAATTTGGATTTACGACTTATAACTTTTTTTTGGGAAAAAACAATTTTCAGGTCATCAAGTTAATAGTTTTCCAGGAAACAATTTTTTTCTGGAAGTTAAGATAACAAAAAAAAGTCATTTTTTTAAATACTTTTTTTTAATACTTATTTTTACTTCTTTGCTAAATTTGAAGTCGATAGCTACAAATTTGAGACACCTATTACATTTTTGAATATCCCGAACAACCTGTACAACATATGAAAATCTTAAATGCAAAAGTTTTAGCTGTCCTGTATGGTTTTGTATAAGGGGAACAAAATTTTCGGTTTTTGTAAATTGCCAACGCACCCTGTACATTTTTCAAAAATTATAAGAATGAAGGTATTTTGGGCAAGATCTCGCGCGTCTTTTGGTTCAAGAATTTTTTCGATCATAGATGACATAATAAAATGACAAAACATCGTGACGAGGAAAAAATGTTGACCATATTTTAAAATTTTGTTTTGAACTCGTTTTGAAATTCTTCCATTTTTTTATTAATAATAATACGTATCTAAACCTAAAAGCTTTTCCAATACCAAAAATATCGATTGATTATTACCGTTTTTCTCAATTATTTAAGACATTCCATATGACGCTGACTAATTAAACACTTAAATCGTAGTTTCGACAACATTACTGACAAAAATCATTACTATGTTGCAAAGTGTTGCGTACTACACTTTTTCTACGACCCTTAGTTAGTTAGTTAGTTTGAAAAACGAAAGTGACATGGTAAAATAACACTTTCCGCACGCTAGATCGGTGTATAATTGGGTATTTTAGTAGTAGAAAAGAGTAATAGAAACATTTGCCTCCTTACACCTTCATGGGACATCCTGTATACATAACATTAATTTTAGTTTAATTTAATTTTTTTTTTTGAAAAAGTGTCCCCTAAATTGTTCCTTTTTTCCCAGGAAATTGCAAAGAGGCGCTTAAATTTTACTGGCTCTCGCTGAGGATGTCCGCCACTCAGAGGGACTCGTTGATCGGCGTGCTCAGGATACTCAGGAAATTCGGTCAAAAAGCCAGACATTTCCAGTTACTCACGCGGTAAGATTTTTTTTATATATTTCTTCGGAGTAAATTTGATTCTTTCTGCCGCAGCTGGCACCTTCTGCTGAGGAAAAAGGGCAACAGCCTGAGACCTGACTTTTATCTGCAAGAGTGGCGTTTAAAAAGCGAGCTAAGTTTCAAAATAAAAATCTACTCTACGACGTTGCACAACGTAAGCGCTCACGATCTAAATTCGTATAGTATAACCACCGATCTATCGAACTCATTACTCTCAATTACCGATAACTTTATTGTTATGAATTTGCTTTTGTTAATGCACGTTAAAACTTAACCCATACACCCAGTGACCCTAGTGAGCTTTCTCACTTAAGGCCTATAGGTGTCCTGTTTGTTCTTTCTAGGATACTAGAGGAAGTTATGATAGAACATTTGAAGGATTATTCTTTGCGAAATGCTATAATTCCTTATACGTTTTTTAGTTTAGTTCTGCATCATTGTGGCAAGTAGCTAGTAGTGACGATTCTAAGCCACGCAAAATTTTAATTGTCGTTAATGTTCGCGTGTGTTCGGGTTGGCTCTTAAACATAATATTTTGCGTACAAAATCCTTTGTTGAAAATTGCCTACATGGTAGGAGTAAGGGTAATGTTTTGGGACCAATGTCTTCGCTTTACACCTCCAACTTCTGCCATTTTGTTAATTATCTAACGCATCATTGCAGATGGCTTTCGATTATATCTCAACTCGTTTAAATCCTTGTACTTCGTGCAAAAATTAGGGCGTATTTTTTTTATAACAAAGTATATTTAGTTAAAAATTTTCTTACCCGTCCAGTGAAATTGAAACTAGGTATTTTTTTTCTTGTATTTTGTGTTGAAAATGAACGCACTGTTACTGTTATCATCATTATCACAAAATAGCAATGGTTATATGAGTTTAGCAGTTTCACATTATGATGTGCCGGTTTTCTTCGGTATAATGGTAAAAGAAATGTTTTTTAAATTAATTAATTGTTCTCTTCAATTAAACAAACAGTCTAAAACGCCTTCCCGTTGTTTTATAATAACTAACTATAATTATTTGAAAACCAATTTAAACTATAAATTAGTAATTAATATTAATTTTGAGGAAAGAGTAACACGCCATTGAAGCAAAACCAAAAAAAAAATCCACTTTTAAGTGTATATGTAAATACGGGTAGATACCTAGCCGCTCATTCTATCAGTAACGAGCCCGTCCCTGGTTTCATTTGTCTTCTATCAGCAAAAGAAAATGATGAATTCAATAGATCTCTGGTCCTACTATGTAGAAACGGTGGAGTCTACAAAAAAAAGTTAATAATACAAAACCTTCTTAAACATATGGTTTGCATATATACAGGCCATTAGTTTTTTCCCGTTAAGGCCAAACTTTCTCATTTAAAATAGCACACCCTGTATATGGTAATGAAAATCACTATTATATTACTTCCAATTGGGCAAATAAAAGATATTTTCAACGATATCTAATAGTAGAGGTTTCGGAAACATCGGCCATCACACAACATGTTCATCACTTGAAAATTTGCTTTTTTGAATGGTATTAAAAATTTTCTCGCTATTACAGTTTTCGTTTGTGTCAAAAAGTAACGAAAAACACATCCCACTCTCATATATCAATGAACTTGTCCTGAAACCCACTCAGCGAGTGATTATTTGTTAATACAGAGTTTCCCAAACTCGATCCTTTGAGAAGAACATTGCAGCATCTGATTTTTTTACGGCTGTATCATATGATATACGAATGATACAAAATGCCAAGCCAAATTTTCTAAAAAATAATTTTCAACTCCAAAAAACGAAGTTGCAATGTCTCAAATATTTATGCTAGTCTCCTTTAGCCCGATTCTTCATATTTGCAGGTTTAGGGTACCCTGTGTATAGTGTTCTATTTAAAGGAAGAAAGTTTGTTCCTGCACCGAAAAACTAAACACCCTGTATACACGAAGTTACGAGAATTTTTTGTATAAACCTTTTTGTAATAGGTCTATTCATTTCTCAAATTGGATTGGATAGTGCGTCAATGTTACTTGCAAGTTTAATTTTAGAAAAACTCCTCCGATTTCGAGCAGCAGCGACGAGAGAAAACCGACAAACCGAACAAGTGGAGCGCTTTAAAAAATAAGACCGCTCACGGCGACAAGAGCTACAAAGGAAAAGACGCGAGAAAAGATCGGAAACACTCGACAACCTCCGATCACAATACGGAAACATTGGAGTTTTCGAAATTCGCGTTGCTAACCTATTGTTAGGTATACCTTTTCTGTTAGAGTGTTTTGTTTTATTTAGAGAAAGCATGGTTGTTCACGCTATAATGGCAAAGAATTATGACATGTGATAAGTTGCCCCAGAAGTCGTAACATATAAAAAGGTTTTTTTTCTTTATTGTAATGTAGGGCTTTTGGACTCTACGAGATCTGTAAATTTGATGAAGCCAAGTAAAAATGTTGATGAGCCGTTTAGCCTTGAGGTAGAAAATCGAATCCAAAAATCTTCTCATCCCCTATTCATTGATTGAGATGATTGAGGTTGAAGGCCTTCTTCCGCTTCGTGGTTTATCTTCAATCTTTTGAAAATGCCTTAAAACACCGAACAACCTGGGCAAAACACTATCTCCGATTCTGCTATTCTGGAGCAAAAACTCAATACAATAGAAACATAGAAAAAACACAATAGAAAAAACGGTTTTGACTCCAGACTGAAGACGAATCACATGTGCCCCATTTTCCTAACCCGGTGCCACCAGACAAAATGCGAGTTACATATTTGAATTTAGAGACTTCGTATGATCAAATACATTATGTCATATGCCGGTTTGTACCAAGTACAAAGTGCTATCTTCTTTATTATAAGAAATAATAAGTCGTTCAAAGTAGCTGATCAAGATGGCGAATGCAGAAAAGTAATTTAATATAATATTTCGAATGTGTACTTTTAATTCTCAACTCACGTGTGACCGTTTTTGAAACACCTGTACATTTTTCGATATTTCATCGGAGGCACGTAAAGCTGGGTATTTCTACTACTTGCGCGATTTTACAGGATATTCAAAAACGATTTTTGCGTCGTTGACTGGCATTGATTTATTATCATTTATTTACTCAGTCATTTTTTAGCTTCATTTTCATTCCTTTTTCTAGTACTTCTCGATATAATTTTGCTAATGTTTTCTAAGTGTCTTCTACCGCAAAACTTCCCACTCTAACGAACTAAACTTTAACAATTCGCTAAAATAGTAATGCCACAGCATCATAAGGAATTAAAAGATAAATCAGGGCCACCGAAAAGATATTTTTAGTATAGGGTGGCTTTGTTGCAATGGAGATAAAAAATTTGACACGCTGCTACACATTCTCTTGAATATCCCAACACGTCTCGAATATTTGAAACATTATTTAAAACAAGGTTTTTGGCACTTTTGGGGCATTTTGTATTTATGTATATGCAAAAAGTCCTTCTCTAAAGAACTGTAGAATATTCCTTGTCATGTAGTATGCATAACCCTGTATATTTCTCAAATAGGGTTCACTACCCACCACTAACCAAAATTAATGATTATATTATTAAATGTTTTATTGACAATAGTTGCCTGTAAATTTCGGTAAACTAGCCCTTTTTTATCTATCGAAAAAATTATTTTTAGTAAAGTTTCTACCGAGCGGTCCATTTATTATGGGACGACAATTTATCTCACAACCTGGAAAAATATCAGTAAAACCTAAAGAAAAAAATTTGATCTGATTTACTTGTATAAATATATTATTACGTTGTTACGCATACACCGTATGTTCTTATTTTCTTAGAAAAATTGCAAATTTGTTATTTTCAATAGAGCACCCTGTATATCTTGCCATTTTTTTATAGTGCTTTCGGGGTCTTTCCTGAAGGTGACTTAAATATTTTAGAATGGGGATTGGAGTTGATAACGAAATAAAGAATCTAACATTACAAAATTCACTGAAAAATTCATTGAAAGTCATTCAAAGAATACAATAATTTTTATCAAAAAAATATCCGGATGGACAAAAACCTACATGAAACATTGTTAAGAAAAGAAACATTAAAAAAATAAACTTTTCTTTTAATTTGTTTTATTACTGTCATTATTATATTGTCCATTATTTAATATTATTTTCATAGAATAGGATTTTGTGGACTTCAGATCATTTCAGTTTGTATGAAAATAACAATAAAATATATAAAACTGGAAAACGAACCAAAACAACGACATAATAGGCAATGTTACACAAATTCGCCATTTTTAAATGGATAAAATTATATAAAGAAATCAAAAAAATATTTTCTTTTTTCTATTACATTTTTAATATTAATTTTTGGGCTGTACTTATTTAATATACCTTTTGTTTATAATTGCTGAGTTGTTACTTACGAAAATACAAACATTCTGTAATAACAACGTACCACAAGTATAAGTGAGTTCAAACAACTTTTGCTCTCTAAGTCTTTTTGATATTTTTTAAAGGTTCTGAGATAATTTAATTTTAACCAAGCCAGAAAACGAGGACGACAAACTTGTTATACAGGGTGATGATAATTGTTTGGAACCAATGAACTATACGTAGCGAGAAGTAAGCGAGCTGACATAATTTACTCTATTAATCAGTATTAATTTTCAAATAGGCTTGTACATACGTGCTCAAAACTTATACTGTATATAATGTGGATATATATATATATATATATATATATATATATAGTATTCAAATGTTACGGTGTGTTTGTTATTCGGAGGCCAACATTAGTTTATACAAGTGCGCAAACGAAACGTCGCCCGAATTAAGGCTAAAATGTGATGGTTCCTTTTAGATTGGCGACTACTACACGCACCTTTAAGTAACTTAGAAATTGCTAACGTGTAAGACGAGATGAGTTTTTGGCCTGCATTTTAAGTTAGCAAGTAATATTCGCCAATGGAAACGAGCCTATATACGGTGAGACGCAACTTTAACGCTGAGCACCGACTTATATACAGGGTGACCCGTCTAAAACGTAACGGAATGCATAACTTTAGGATTTTTTACCATTTTCAAATAACGATTCGTTTGGTATACAATTTTCTGGATGACAAAGTGAATTACTTCACTTCATCACGTCAAATACAAAAGTTGTTAAAAAAAATATTTGCAAGATAGTTTTTTATATATACAAGACTCACCCGCAGATAAAAGTTATACATTTTTTATTGGAACGCCCTGTATACGCTGCACATTTCTTGTATAATATATCTTATACACAAATTAAATAGCTTTTGAGATACATGCGCTTTTAAAATAAAAGCAACATTCAAAAATAAAATTTTCTAGAAGTTTTTATTAAACCAAATAACAGGGCCAGAGAACTACGTGTAATTAACCCTCAAAACAAAAAACTTTTCATGGAATCTATGAAAAAAAAAGTTTTCTAATTCGTTCTGAAGAAAATTTACATAACCGTTACCGTTTAAAGTAAAGTCGAAGAAATGAGGAACTTTTATCCTGTTTTTTTAAAAAACAACACCACACACACGTTAACAAACGTTTCCAAAATTAATCGTCTTTATTTTTTGCCAAGAAGATAACCAAAGAGGGTTTGGACAAAAAACCTCGAAAACTCCCGTGGGGCCCCAAACCTTCTAGGAGGTGCTCCGCCCCGAAAGTGGGGCCACGATGCTTCTAGGGTGTGCACGCTTCGGGTGCTCCTTTCCTTGTGGGGTCCGTTGTACGAAGTTCGGACAAACATAATCTCAAAAAACACACCTTTCTTTTTTTTTAGCTACCGAGGACCGAAACCGGGATCCCTCCATTTTTGAACGTCGACTTTACCACCGAGCTAATGAGCATAAATTTTTAATTTTCAAGGCTGTTTTTATGTTAAAAGCGCATATATCTTTAAAATCATTGGATTTGAGTATAGGATATATTATACAAGAAATGTGCAGAATTTTAAGGGGATTTTATTGAGCTTAATACTGTAAAAAATATATAACTTTTATATGTGGGTGATTTTTATATTAAAATATAAAATAAAACTTGTATGAGTGAGTGACTAAAAATATTCTAGAGCACAAGATATGGCAAATTAAAGACCCTTAAATTTAAGATCGCCAAACCGGAGTTCTGATGGTCAAATGTGAAACTTTGAGAAATACTTGGACCCGTTTAGTTTAGCTAAAGTGGTTTCTATATTTCGAATTGGAAAATGCCACCTTGACAAACTAATTCCATTACCCTTTTAAAAACAAAACTTCATATGAACATACATCCCAAACTTCTTACCTTTTGAGATACAGGGAGATAAAGATTTCAAAAATAAAATGCATTGACATTAAATTAGAAAACACCCTACATATTATAATTATAAATTATAACTTCAATACCATACTTACACCATGGTCGAGCAAAATGGGGCGGAGCACCATCCTGTTGAAACCAAATCTGCCAGTCAGGCTGATTTAAATTTTGAATTTTGATATTATTTTATCGAAGAGAAATTTTGAAAAATGGCGTCCTATTTAAAAAGGGAATTTGGCAAGGGGATTAAATTTTGAACCGCCCTATATATTTTTGTTTACTGCAATAAAATGCGCAATAAAAAATTATGACGGGCAGCAGCGAGCATTTTCTTAAAATCCATTATACAGTCGAAACTCGATACAGCGAAATTGAAGGGACTGCTTTTTTTTCGTTAAAAGAGTTATCGGCACTTAAAAATAACAATACGCATATACCGTCTGCAATATTTAATTATTTTATATACATATTTTAATATCTACTTAAGAACATTTTATATAAATATTTAACAACTACATTTAATGTTTCAAATAATCGGTCTCTTTTGTTTAATTTTTTTTAGTATGCCAATACGCATCTCATACTTTGGCTTGTATTTTCACCATTTCTTCGAGGGGGGCATCTTCCCCATGATACATTAAAAATTTCTCTAGCAGCTTAACTGAATATTGTTGAATGATTAACTTCTTGATCTTCTTGTTCCTCTTGGTGCTCCTCTCACCTTTTCTTGCTTGTTGTAATATGGCTTCCTCTGTCAAGTCTGCTATTGTACGCAATTCCTGATCTATCACCATAAACTCTTGCAACTCCTCACTTATAAACCTAATTGTTGTTTGAAACTGTTTTATCCACTCGCTTAGTGGCTGATCATATTCCAAGTCCTGTTCTCATTCTGTCTCGGTAATTGTTTCTGCTGTCACCTCTTTCCAAGCTTTACTAATAAAGTCGACTGCATCTAGCATATTAATCATCTCCATTAAAATGTTTTTCCTGTATTGGCTCTTAAGACTTTTTCGATCGGCTGTAATACACTTATTGTTTTGGCTAGAAGAAATGCCAATTCAATATTCCGTAGATTTGGAATATGGGGATGCGCAGGGCAGTTATCCAAAAGAATAATATTTTCCTCCCATTTAATTCTGCATTTAAGTGGCCAGAAAATACTTAATGTGCTTAAAACATCGTGGGTTAGTTAATTTTCCAATTACGACTAGAATTCTTTTTTCCCTGAAACTCATATTGGCAGCTACTAACACTGTTATACGTTCTTTAGACAGTTTTCAACCCACACACTTTTCGCTTCGAAATTTAAGAGTTTTATCTGGCGTCATTTTGTAAAAAATACCAGCTTCGTAAGCATTGCTGTTGGAACCACTACAACATTGACCGATCCACACCTTCAAATTTTGACTTTCTTAGTTTTTTACTAGAACTACCTGCCGCTTCAGCCTGAATGATTTTTTTTGCACTTCCAAATCGTGGATACAGTCACTTTATAGAGAGTGAGAAATTCGTTATACAGAGTGGATTAATACATAGCTTTGTTGGGAGACCTAATAGTACAACAAATTTTGTTCGGAATACAGAGTTTTACGATCGACAGGGTTTCGCTATAGGGAGTTTTCACTGTATTATTTAAAAGGATTTTCATATTAATATCGGGACAACCTGTATAGATAAAATATGAGATAATCCGATTCAATAATATCAACACTTAAGTTTGATATTGGTATGCTTTCCTATGCGCTTACGATAGGCCACCATGTATATAAATAAGCATACATTGTTTGAAAATACATTTTGATATACAACGTTAAGGCTTTTTATTTACTAATAATAAAACAAGTGTATTTACTAAATAAAAGTTTGAAAGTATTTTTGATAACATTTAGACCGTGTGTAAAGTTTTCTATAAGGTTAAGTTGTAGTCGAGCAGTTTGGAACACAAAATCACGCGAGTGTATAGATAAGCAGAATTTCATATTTCAAGATAATTTTTGAACATGATCTCAAAGCGATTTTTTCTTTTATATGTGTAAGCAAATTTTCAAAATATTACCAATATAAAAATAATTTAAAATGGATGTTTGATTTCTTATAGCCCCGTCCTCCCATGTGCGTACATGGGCGAGAAAAAAAGCCAAAAATGCCCGTTACTAGGAGTCTTTTTTTTATTGCAGAATTTACAACAATAAGATCAAATAATTACAAGAACAAGTACTGAAAAAATTATATTGGATTTCACAAAAAGAGAATACAAATAAATTACAATCGATATCTCGAAAATAAAAAAAAAAGTAAAATTGTCTGAAAGACCACAAAAGATGGAAAACTTGAAGAGAAAAGATCACAAGACCATCAGAACAAAGATGACAAAATAGCTGATCATCAAAATCACACGAAAGTTAAATGTTATCTAGGAGACGTAGATTTTACACCTAACCTAGCACGAAGAAGAAAAAGGAAAAGATGTTTATACTATCCCAAAAGGATTCTGTGGTGGAGCATTGCACGCGGCGGTTTAACCTCTGTTCGCTCCCGACAGAATCCCATGTATTCGTCCCAAAAAGCTTGATATCGGTTTCCACGGTGTGGATTTAGTGTTTTGAGTGTTCAGTGTACGTCTTAAAGTGATAATCGTCGTCGGCCCCGTCGTTTTTCCCCGTTCACGCCAGTATGGAGGCCGGATGGGCCCGGATGGTCCGCGGTGGAAGCGGGGGGAAGCCGATTTTTTTGGTATCGGTCAGAATCGTTTTTTGCTAGCTGAGCAAATTATTGGTTATTTTTCTTCTTTGTACGTGGTGGTCATTGACCAGAAGCGAAAATCCTCGACGGAAGTCGGCAATGGGCGAATGATCCTAGCAGTCGAGCCCAACATTTTTTTGTGAAACACATAATTGAATTGAATTTGAACTATCCCAAAGGATTCTGTGGTGGAGCATTGCACGCAGCGGTCTAACCTCCGTCCGCTCCTAGCAGAATCCGCTGAATTCGTTCGAAAAACCTTTGGTATCGGTCTTCAATTTGTGTGACTCTGTTTCGGCAGTGTTTGGTGTTTGTTTTAAGTGTAAAAGTTCCGCCGGCCCCGTTGTTTTAACCGTTCACGCCGGTATGGAGGCCGGATGGGCCCGGATGGTCCGCGGTGGAAGCGGGGGGTGTCGGTTTTTTTGGTATCGGTCAAAATTGTTTTTTGCTAGTTGAGCAAATATTGGTTATATGTCTTCTTTGTACGTGTTGGTCCATGACCAAAAGCGAAGATCCTCGACGGAAGTCGGCAATGGGCGAATGATCCTAGCAGTCGAGCCCAACATTTTTTTGTGAAACGCATAATTGAACTTGAACTTTGAACTATCCCAAAATAATTTTGCTAATTATGGATCAAAAATAAGTTTAGTGGGGTTAGACAACAAATACGACACAACGCCGTTTAAAAAATAGTAAAAACATGCGAAGGGTGTAAGTAATAAAATATTTACAAAAAAAATTGGAATGGGAACCATTGGTTTCTAATTCTAAACATTTTAAAATGTAATTTTAAAGTTTTTTTTGTTTACACCCATAAATGTGTTACTTAAAAAATACATACTTAAACCAAAAATTTCTAAGAAAAAAGTAGTTTTGAAAACGTTTTTTAAATGCACATTTTTCAAAAACACCCCATAACTTTATAACGTTAACAGATATCCGGTTATCACCATACCAATATTAAATTTTAAAATTTCGTTTTTTTAATTTTTTTAATAAGCCAGCTTTTTGTGTGTTCTTACATGCTACGAAACTGTTGTTGCAAACATATTGTTATTATTAACTTCACCAGGTGTCTAATTCTTCTTTAGCAATATGTAACTTTCAATTGTTTATTATTGTTATTCATGGCCTTCTATTGAGGTACGCATTTATTTGGGAAAACTGTGACGTATTTGTTTGTTTCTGAAAATCTTAATTAAAGATAGATTCTATGGAAATATTGTACTAGGAAAAATCCAATAATACATCCGATAATATATGCGTTCAATTTATCTTGATAACATTTTAATTAGCTGTAACTTTTTTGTTTTTGAAAGTATCATGGTAAATAAAAAAAAAACAAAGTGTAGGGTTAGTAGCTGAGTTTTTTTCCAAGTGACATATAAAACAAAACACTATCAATTTTCTGACACATAAGCTTACATCATATTTTTTTTTAAATTGAACACCCTGTATATTATATCTGTCAATAGAATATCTTATGCCGATTAAAATGATGTAACACACTTTATATTTTAGTCCACCGGTTTTTGACAAATCGGCAAAAATAGGAAATTTTTAAATAATTTCAAAGAGTGCCCTGACTGACAAATAAAAAAATTTTAATGTTTGACATATGATGGTTGAATCACTGTCCAACTCAGATTCTATCAAGCACATCCCCTCAGTTTTGAAAGAATATAAATATTCGAAAAACTCAAAAACTAACGGCAGAACAATGTCAAAGGAGGACGCAGTTTTGTTTGGATTTTTAGAATAGACATAATGAGAATAATAATTTTTTGGGAAACATTTTATGGACTGATGAAAGATCATTCACTACAAGAAAGGGTTGTAATAGACAAGACACACGAAAGTCGTCTTTAAATAATCTTAAACAAATACACGAAATAAAAACCCAGGGTTACCAATCAATTAATGTGTGGTGTCATAGATGGGCATATTTTGAGTCCGATATTTACATTACACAAGTTAACGGCAGATCATTATTTGCAACTCTTAGAGCACCAAATAGAATATTTACCCCTAAATACAAACGTTACTAAATTCAAGACATAAAATTAGAGTGAATGAGAAATGTGTTAAGGAAAATGGGGGTCACATATTTAGAATAGTTAAAGAATTTTTTACTTGAGTGTGTCTTGTCATTTTTAGTATTTTTGTTCTACTTTAATTTGTCAATAATTATTGTAGTTGTAGTCAGTCACGGCACTCTTTGAATTTGAAAAAGGTACACAGGTAATTTAAAAAATTTATTTTCAAAAAATAAGTACTTACAAATTAACTGAGCTACCTAATATCACTATAAAATAAACCAAAACGATAAACCGTGATCATACAACTTGCTATTTCAAATGAACACAACACAACTTCTGTGCCTGCAAAAGCAATGGCCGATTTTAAAACTTCTTGACCCAAACGCTTAATTAATCTTAACAAACGTCGTTTACCGAGCATAACCTCACTTTTTGTGCCTAGTCAATTTCTCGCTAGACTCAATAGCACCTGCAAATTGAAATTGCATAAACGGTAGGTGGCGTTGAATTCATGCACCACCAACATTTAGCGTAATTCTTTAGAGGGAAACGAAACTATCCGATTTCCTGTCAACACTGAAAGATTTTCAATTTGTTTCTGCTAGAAATACGTATTTGTGCTGTACAAACCAATTATTGCATTTCGTACTTTCTCAATGTTTAAGAAGAAGCCGCTAGAGGGTGCCAGTATCGATGCCGTCATAATCAACGCATTCTGCGGATTACCTTTCAAATGTAAATTTATTTTTTTATATTACCCACATAATATATTAAACACTACGTGTCCAAGTCTAGTTTTTATTCACGTCTTTATCTCTGTTATTCAATGAAAAACGGAATTAAATGACAAACAAAAAAAAAAACTTTGAATATATAAGGTGAATATTAAGACCTTGGACTGGCCTCCACACCTCAACCCCATAGAACATTTATGGGATCAAATGATAAGGTAGCCTATCAATCCCCAGCTGCCTGATTGGACGATGCAGTTGGCGAGAAAATTAATTATGAAATGTACCAAAACTTGACTGGCGACAAAAATATGTTGAATGAATTATTTATTATTCGCAAAGCAACGCTTAACTTTAAAGGTGTGCACTACAATTATCATGGAACACAAAGTTGGATTACCACCACCTTATTGGCACAGAATAGTTCAGGCATAACATTTTCATAATCATCAAAAAGAAAGGACAACATTTTGCCACAGAATAAACATCATGAAGAAGCGACAAAAGGTGAGTGAAGCGTGAGTCACTTGAATTCGATTTTAGGCTGTCAGAACCATCATACTTTTATGTATCTTTCTCTGTCTCTATTCCGCCATCGATAATAGATTAGTTATTGTTGCAGGCACGCATGGCTCTTGCTAGCGCAAGGTCATAGTTTATCTTCCCTCCGCAATTAGAAGCCACCGAAAGCAGTGCCTTCCTTCACAATAGAATTAACCACAAAGTAAAGTAATTAAAAATGCTGTGCTTAAGGCGTTCAAAATGACGGCTGACAGTTGGTGAATTTGACATTTCGTGAAAAAGTGACATAGATGCGGCCAAGAATCGTAAACCTAATAGGATTGCCCAATCCCATAAGACATATGTTCGCCAAAATTATCGATTACACGTGGTCGCTTGTGACGTAAGCGAAATCCTCTAACGGTTTTAGTGTATTCTCTCAATGCATTTGAAGGCGTATTAAAACCGTTGTATTTTGTGTTCTTTGAACAACTAAAATAATTTAAACTAGTGAGTAGTGGGCTTATGTTTGTGTTAATTGTATATCTGTAAAAAAAACTTGGACAATACAGTGTTTTTAAGCTTTAACAAATACTTTGAAATCGTATGTGCTTGAGTAGCAAGAACTGAGAAAAACAGTATTTTTAACATTAAACAAAGACTCAGGTCACGTCAGCTGAAAAAATTACACATAATAATATAGGTAAAGGTAAGCAATACATTTATTTTACCTTTTTCAGTGGGATAAGTTACATCAAAAAATAGTTAGGTATGTCTGGAACGAGTTGTGGCATGTATGGGTGCAATAACAACTATTTTGATGAAAAAGCAAGTTCTTGAAAATGTAGTTTTCATCGCTAGTTCGGTGTCGAATAGAGGACAAACTTAATCCAGATAAAAGCTGTCTGCTCAGTTCATTTTACTGAAAATGATTACGAAAGAGACTTACAGGTTAGGATAGGTGTCTTGAGTAACACATTAAATTCACTACAAAATTTAAATTTTCGGTTTACCTTTAAAAAAGATTCTAAAAAAAACTGCTGTTCCCATCCTATAATTATTTAACCAGAAGCCAAACTGGAACTTTTATTTTGAAGCCCATCATGGTGATTCGTTTCGAAAAGGGCAAGGGGTGGTAAAAACTTAGCAAAAAAAATATATAAAACAGAAAAAGAATTACCATTTAGTTTAGTTAGAGATTTTTGTAAGCTGAGAACGATAATTCGTATGAACTTCAGAAATTTAAAAGCAAAATATAACGTTAGTCTGAATAGAAAATCTTTACAAGATGATACCCACAGAAAAAAAAAAGAAAGTATGGTAAAATTGCAAAATAAAGATTTAAGTATATGTAGTAATATGTATTTTTTATATTATTTACATACGAGGGTACATATAAATACATATTATTATTTACCTACCACCAATAAATAGTTGTTATGTATTCCTAATATATTTTTTGTTTTTTAATATGTTCCTTATCTAAAAATAAGGATTTCTAGTTTATAAGTATTTGTTGATTTTTGTATATTTAAAGTGGTAGAATGCCGTAAAACACAAAGTTTTACAAGTAAATCGTTTTCTGTATTTATGTGTAACAATATTTAATTAATATATGTGTTTCAAGATAATACATATAAACCAAACTTGATTGTAATAGCATTATTTTTACCCTACCTGAGACCCTACCCCACGCTACTTCCCAATAATTATTAAATAAGTACTAAAACGATTTAATGTTGACATTAAATGGTAACAACGAGTGATTATCCAAACAAAATGCTATATTAGCTACTCAAAATACTCAAAGTCCATCAAAACTCGGGTTCGTTTCAGATTATTTCCATGCATTTACATAGTAAACGCGCCAATACAGTACTTCACCTATGTCACAGCCAGCAAGAGTTTTCGCACTGCACTTGCGGACAGATTTGGCGGATTAGGCAATGCTATTGGGTTTACGATTCTTGGATGCCGCTTTCGATAAACTCATAACTTTGCTTTAAAATGAAGTGATGATATCTTCAGACAGAAAACAATGTTTAAATTAAAATTGCTTTGGCTGTGGCAATTTCAGGTTATGTATTTTAGTCGCTTAGGATTATTATCATGACTGCTTACTTGGAATTACGAATTATGTAATATTCTTAAATGCTTGTTTTGTGTATTTGTGTACAATAGAAAACAGCATACATTTTTTCAATGGTCATCTTTCATTTCCCTAACATTTATTAAATGTGGAAACTATACCAGACAAGTTTCATTTTAGCTATAGTGATTTTTTTGTGGTTAAAACCAAATTTTTTAAGGTTTGCGTCAAATAAAATGTATTTAAATGAATCAGAGACCGCAAAATATGGTCTTTTTACTAAAACGGATGGAACCTAGGGATGCCAGCCTTACATTTTTCTAGGTGGCCCAAGACCAAAAATCAATATGGGATGCACACATCGAGACTATATTAAAGAAGAAAAATATACATATTGTTTTATTATAAACCCTAATTATAAAAGAACCATAAATTCCAACTCATGGATTCCCATCTGAGATACACTGTAATGCAGAGCAGGGGGCCGTATTTTATATGAAAAGTAACTATTCTCTCTAATATAACTGTGACAGGGATATTCACATCCAGTAGTGCTTAAGACTGAATTTCCATGGACTATGTTTAACTGGAACTCAACTAAGAAGTAAAAAAAAAGATGCTTTATAGTCACTTGAAAAGTTCTACACCTGTACATATGTTGCTTTACTTCACTGTTAAGCTTGACTTTCTTAACCCTAATTTTCTTCTGCTATCTTTTAGTGATTGTTTCTAATGAGAGATATTTAAATACTAGTTTTTAATTTTTTCAGGTTGTTTAATTTGAAAAATAACATGCATTGCCTGTTTTTCCCTGTTCGAGTCAATACCAACTAGTGCAATATTGACATATGAAGAGAAATAAGGATAATAGAGAGATTAACATTTAGAACAAACAAAAAAAACACTTTAATATGCCGGGAATTGTAACAATAATGCCTTTCACTCGTTAATGAAGATATAAACCCCGATTTCTCTGACTGGAAAAATCTAGGTATAGCATAAAACTATTTTGCTTTTAAATGCTTCAACCAGTTACCAAATAATATTAAACAAAGAGAATTAAAGTATTTCAAATTATAGTAGAAAACGTTCTTAAAGCTTTACTTTACTTCTCTTTATAATGCTATTCGTGGCCCTTTATCGCTGCTATATGATGTTTGTTCTGAACTTTCCCACCTAATATATATTCGCTTTAAGTTACTATTTATTGTTAGATATTCGAAAATGCGGAATCAAAAACTGAGTCCAAGATGTCAGCTACTTTAAGGAAAAACATAGATCCTCAAACTGACTAACCTAATACTTCAGTCTGGCATTTCTATTGATATGATGGGCAAGACGGGCTTCATCATGTCGGCCTTTTTTATTTGGGAATCATTTTTGTCCAATTGCTGCTCGAGCTCAACTCCGTTCTGTCTACGTTCCGGCTGGTAGCCGATATTGCCATACTCTTGTAGTAGGGGGCACGCGCCCAACACGAAAGAGCAAAAGTCTTTGCGCATCCCGAACCACCCTGCAATGGAAACAGATGACCAGCCCCGTTCCAGCGACCGATTAACTTACATTTGTTGGCCCCTTTGGCACTGAAGGACATCAGAATCAGGTTAATGAAGGAAATGAAAAGGGGACTCGCGACAGCAGTGTAGGACAAATGAATATCCTCATCTAATTTATTCGCTAATAATACCTGAAAATATTACCTGCTTAGAATGGAAAATAACAAATAACATCAAAAACATACTTGAAATATCAATATAGGAATAACCAAGAATGTATATCCGACGGCAGATTGAAAACTGCTCCGCCTTTGTTGCGTGTTGACCTCTGGCGTCCGCATTAAAATGGCCGCAAATATTATCGTATACAAAACACCCACCTAAAAACGTTGACATTTAGAATGGGACGACAGAAACTTGCGAGGGATCCCACCAGCGATAGGCACATTACGATCCACAATGGCACAAAGACAACCTCCCATGACCACAGAATAAACTTGTCAAGTCTTAAAGCTAGGAATATAAATTGTAGAACATTAACAGCGCAGAAAAGTTCTAGCTAAAATCAAAGGAAAACTGTTTGTGTCTCTTTTTGCATCAACAAATTACCTGCCTCAAATGACCTATCATGCTTAACTGCCCATATGCACACAGCTATACTAACTATAGATATAAAAATTAGCGGAATAAACACTAATATCCACAAATGTCTGGAAGATTCAAGTTGGTCACAGACTAACAATTCAAACATTAACAAAATTAAATGCAGGGCTAGGGATATTAACATCGACTTGTAATGAATGTATGCTTCACCTTCTAACCTAAAATCATATGCCTAATGTTAGGGTAAATGTTTGGCATTGACTTAAAATGTTGTACCTAAAATGAGGATACCTCCACCATACAAAACTACCGACTGTAGCTCCGAGGATCACCAACGCTTTCCAAACCCATATTGGTGTAAACACGGTCCAGTAAGACCAAGATATATATTCGTCTAATCGTAACGCGAATAAAGTTATAAATATTAACAAACAACAGTGCACCACAAATTTGCTAGAAATAATAAGTCAAAAATATTTTCCACAAATCCTGCACATTCCTACCTGGGATTGAAATCCTGAAAAAGCATCTGCAAATTCATCTTCAAATCCAAATATAAAGTGGGCTCGATTCCATCTCTTTACAAGTTTTGGAATCTTTGCTGTCGTTTTGACAAACAAAACAATATTCGGTTTTAAAGACCCATTCCCATGTCTGAGAGTTACTTTAAAAATCGTTAATTTGCCTTGTTTTTCTAACGTTAGCTTCTGTATATCTTCATCACAAAAGCAGTAAAAAAATTATCTTAGCACTGGATTTATTTAGCCTTGTGTTGCATTTCGACCTAACCTTGTAATGTCAGAGTTTTCGTGCGGAGTCTACAAACAATATGCGTTCTCTAGTTTGGGTGTGTGTCTCTGGATGAGTTACCTAGCTAACTGTAAAAATAGAGAAGAACTATTCTATGACTTTGTCCATGAAAAAAACAAGTATTTGGCCTTAAATAAACTTTAGGTTTTAGTGCAATAAATTTGCCTTAAAATGTTAATTTTTATTACACAACAATGGTCAGTAACATAAAAAATTATGAGAAGTAACTATTCCCTTTTATTTTTTGCTTGTTAAAATCGACTGAACGTGGCAACACTGCTCCAAACATATGTCCCCTTTGAAAATCGGTGAACGGTGGGTTGTCATCCAATGTTGTGAATTGTTTACGTGGAAGTGTTGATTTAAGCAATGTAAATTTTGCTTATAAAGAACTATGATAATAACATAAACACAAGCTTGCACTTTTGGCATAAAATATGTATACCGTTTAGAATTATAGTTTGTGAATTCGGGTGTTAATAAATCTTCGAAAATGGAGGAAATTCCAATGTTAATTTCCCTTGTTATTGTTATGCTGATTGGGTCATTTTTAGCGGGTTCTATACCTTTGTTTTTCACATTATCGGAGGTAACTAAAGATTACAAAGATTTTTTCGATCGCTTTTTAATTAACTGAATGAAGTTTTATTGATATGTTTCTTGTCAAATAAAATGCTTTTATACAGTTTTGCTTTTTAATTAGGATAAATTAAAAATGACCACGGTTTTCGGAGCCGGCCTTCTGGTGGGTACAGCTTTGGCTGTAATAATTCCCGAAGGAGTCCGCTCTATGATAATAGAGCAAAATGTTGGACAAGGGCACAATGAATCCGACACCCACGACCACAGTGATCCTTTATCCTTTATTGGTATTAGTCTAATTATTGGATTTATTTTCATGCTTATTGTTGACCAGGTACTGTTTTGTGTATGCAGTAGATTCTAATGATGTAAAGGGCTTTTCACCAGGTGTCTCAGCGTAAAAATGAAAATCTAAATCCATCTGAGCGAAATATTACCGCCACTGTGGGCCTGGTGGTGCATGCTGCCGCCGACGGGGTCGCTTTAGGAGCCGCGGCCACAACAAATCACGCTGACGTAGAAATTATTGTATTTCTGGCTATTATGTTACACAAGGCGCCGGCCGCTTTTGGGTTGGTCACTTTCTTGCTACATGAAGGGATAGAGAGGCAAAGGATTCGCAAACATTTGTTGATATTTTCCTTAGCGGCCCCCGTCATGACAGTAATAACTTATTTTTGCATAGGTCAAAAGCAGAAAGAGACTCTAAGTTCGTTAAATGCTACAGGTGAGAGTGCATATTAGTTCGGGCTATCGATTATCATTTTTTAATTTTCAGGTATAGCGATGCTCTTCTCAGCAGGCACATTCCTTTACGTAGCCACCGTGCATGTATTGGCAGATCTAACTCAAAACGTTCACGGATATTCCAAAGTGCCTCAGACTTTAGAGGGTGGAAAAGCTGCGGCTGCTCACTCCTCCTCCGCACTTAAACCAAAAGAACTCTTTTATCTAGTCATTGGCTGCCTTTGTCCCTTGTTATTATCTTTGGGGCACCACCATTAGAGTACCAACTCAGGTATTCCTTTGTGTTTCTCATATGCATAGTTTTAAGTAACACAAAAGAAGTAGCAATAAAGGAATGTCTTTTGCCTAGTGGTATGTTTTGAAAAACGTGCCAACCTTTGATTAACTGAAACATCCCAATAATTGTATTGTGTAAATAGACAGTTGTAAAGTTTTATTTATTTTATACATATTTTATAAGACAATAAAGTAATGTTTTTGGTGTCATATCTGTGTCACTTTTTATATACAGTCTAAAAGTCTGATAGATTTCAAATATACTGTGTTAAGGGGTCCCTATGATCTGTATACTTTGTCCCAAAGTATATCATATTGCTTGTCCAGTCAACATTGTAAGACAGAGCATCAGGGACCGACTTGGCATTGACAATGGCATCTGATTTAGCCGCGGCATAATAGAGAAATTAGTAATCATAGGATGATTTTTTGAAACACACTGAATAATTTATTGGTTGGTAGTTGTACCCAGTAAATATAGGTATGAAAGCCTTAATTACGTCAAAAGTCAAGATGATGTAATTTGAGACACACTTTACCAAACAATATTCCCTACTAAGTTTTTTCCGGATTATTTTTTTATTTCATATTTATTTTAGTTTGTCAAAAAAATAGAGCTCTCACAATTTCCCGTAAATTAAGTATTTTGCCATACAAAAAGTTGGCACCTCACTGGAAAGGCGCATTGAAAATTTTTACACTGCAGTGGGTCAATATATTATGTTTCATCGATGGGACAGGCTGGTTACTGGAAAATTATTAAAATAACCAAGTATATTTAGGTAAGTTTTATTAATTTACATAAAATAATTTAAAGCTCTTTGAATGTGTGACACTTAAACACCAGCCCTGTATGAAGACAAAACAACTTAATATTTAAATATAGCACTTTCGGTTGCTTACAGAGTAAAAAATTTGATTTCGATTACGCTTCTGAACTTCATATTTGTTTAATAGACAGGTTGTCAGAAAAATCAATAACAAAATTTTGAGGTTTATTGAAAGTGAGATTCTTTTGAATTTCTTGAAAAACTAAACAACTATCTTATTGCTTAAACTTGACGAGACGACCTCCAAAGTAAATAAGTTATACTAGTTAGAATTTCACTTTGACAGGGCTAGCATAATTCGAAGATACAGTCCAACAGTTACAGCAATAATAAACGTTAGAATGGATATATAATAATACAAATTTAATTAATCATTGTAGATACCAGTAACTTAGCAACACTGCTTATTTACACTTTGGTTTAAAAAAATATGCCCAAAATATGACATTTCCACTTGATCCTTTTAAATTATGCCACAAACACTGACCTAATTTGTTTCTCTGTCCTATGCAAGCAAAAGATTTTGTTAATTTGTCACTTTTATCAACTCTAACCCTAACTTAAATACATATGTATTTTTTATAAATAAATAATCTCAATAATCAGACCAAATCAAGTTAAATCCTAAGAGAATACATACCAGAATATAAAACTTATGTACACAATATAAAAAAACAAATATATTTTGAAACAAATATATGACCTAATAGTTTTGGCCAATTACTTTAATTAGTAATGACAGCAAATAACATACTAAACCTCAAATAGTTATATTAAATAGTAAATAATGACCCCGAGATGAAAGATAAAACTTTTGTTAAAGCAGTCATATGGTTGTAGCAAAACATTTTCGTTCCTTTCACCAAGGCCATATTATACTTTACCCTGTTGAGACTATTTTTACAGTGGAATTTTTCTATTAAGAATATTAACAATTAAACATTCGTTTTATTACTTATGTAAACAGTGGTAAGTTGTGAAAGTGATATCCCCTCTTACCTTTGGCCGCTAGATAAATGTAGACTACGTGGTAAGCGCCAGGAATAAAACAAATGAATCCTGAAAAAAAAAGCACACAAAATAGTCATATCGAAACCGAAATCAAAATGCTTGCGTCAAATTAAAAATTCCTCTAGCCCCAAAGTAATTCCTGTAATGCAGTGCAAATTATATACTGAAGAGGTTTGTTATTCACTAATTTTATAAACATTTTTCTTGTAAATCAAGTGAAACCTACCCGCTAATAAAAATACAGATGCCTGTAAACCAGAATTCGGCTCAGATAAGGTTAAGGTTCCCGTAATCAACAATCCCACACCTATAATCAGTAATGTAGTAGCTGCCAACACCATCCTCCAGTTCTCCCTCACTTTAGGGTGCTTAAAACATGAACGGGGTAAGTTTTCTTCGCTTGAACATTCATAATAATCCTGAATTAGGGAATCACTGTCTCGCGATGTGTCATTAACAATTTTATAGCCCCTAGAATGCGGAATTTCTGTATTTTATGAAGAGCTTCATGTGTTACTTACTGTCCATTGTCTATATTAATTCCTATAGAATCGCCTTGTCCGATTTTGTTGTTCTTAATTTTGTAATCAGTAGATCCGTAAACTTTAATCGCCTCGTCAGTTTCCTCTTCGAAAGCATCGTCAATTGAAAACCTTTTCTGCTTGGAACCCGAGAATGAAAACTGGGAAGACATTTTCGACACCAGCACAAAGCACTTAATTATTCACGCCATTTCTAGCGGCGTCTGAATAGCAATTAGTGATTTTATCGACATAGACCGGAAACGCTTGTAATTTCAATGTGAAAGTGTTTTGGTTTACTCAAAATTTAAATTGGAACAAGAGTTTGTTTAATTGTTATTGGGTAATTATGGCAGAGTTCAGTGTTAGTTATGAACCAACAAAGTATAACGACGTTGAACTGGCTGGCTCTGGGCAATACCAATTGACTACATTCTAAGAAACGAAGAAGAAGTCTTTATCTAAAATTATTTGTTGGCCGAATGAGCGCGTTGGTCTATGACCAAAAGCGAAAATCCTCGACGGAAATCGGCAATGGGCAATTGATCCTAGCAGACGAGCCTAACAGTATCATTACCGATCATTATCTCCAGGTTTATATAAAATATTATTAAATTTTTGAATTAGTTTAAATAATTTTGATCGTTCTTCCGAATTTAGATGTTCGTGCTTAATTAGTGATTTTAAGTAAATATTTTCTTGATTACGTGTTATTTTTTATCATTTTGAATTTCAAAATTATACAATTTGAAATTATCTTCTTCAAAAGATATCGATAAAATACATTCCTTCTTTTATTTTTAATAGAGTTGATTGAATTTCCATATTTTCACTTTTAAAATAAGGCATTAGCTAGGAACCGTATTCTGGCAGGTTAGTTTGAATTTTTACTTTCTGAATTGTTCGTGGGGGAATTTCTTTTTTATATTCATTAAAATTTTTTCGAAAAGAAAATGGAATTTCTAGATAGTCATTTGTTAATAAATTACTTGTTAAGTCTTCTTGTCCGCGCGGAAACGGACTTTGGCCGCAGCTGGCACAGCAAGAAGTCGCAATAATTACTCAAAAGATTTTTGATTACTTAACTGACCCTACCTCGCTTTTGGTCTTCCTTCTGGCGGGTCCGGCCCGTGCTGCGTCCTCTGTGCTTTGAGTGGTGAGGAAATTTGTTGATCACCACGCGTATGACCTGATGCGTTCAACGGCACTTTTTCAACCACCCGATGAGAGCGACCGATTTAGCGCTTCACCGTGATTTTTCGTGGAGCATGCGCCTAAGGGCGCTGGCGGGTATAGATGGCCAGTTAAGTTCAAGAATTTAATACCGCGAGGAAAGGAAGAAGAATAACTTCTTGGTGCTGTATTCGCGGCCAATCGATAAGCTATAGGTTTATATACATAAATTCATAAGAAGTCGAAAAATAATAAAATGAAGACTAAACATATATTAAGATCTAATCGATCATGAAAAGAATAAAGGATAAATTCAATTGGTTTAGTAATACCGAAACATACAAATAATGGAATATTTACCTTATTAGTGGCTTTACGAGATCCAGCGCAAGTTTGAAGTGTAATAGTATGGGGTTTAATTAATTCCGGAAAAAAATTCTTCAGCTATAGAAAGTCGTAGTAGAGAACCATGAGATCCCGTATCAATAAGAAGTCGTATATTATAGTTTGGTATTTCTATAAAAGGAAGTTGATTAACTTGAAAACTATTTAATTGGAGGCATCGTTTTCCGAACCGTGTAACTGAAAATTTTCCAATTGTTCCACAAGGGTTTCTTCAAGAGTGTCCTCCTGTATTTCATTAGTTTCTTCTTGTTCATATTCTTGATAATAAGGTTCAAGATCATACGAGTTATCATCATCTGGATTACTTTCTAAGTGGGTTAGTTCTTCAAATGTAAATTGAGGTGGTTTTCTATATTGATTAAATTGTAGGATTAAATGATTGGAATGTTGTGGATGACTAAATTGATTAAAAGATTGTTGTGGTTGTTGAGGTTGTTGTTTTGGGATAATACTTACTGCAGACATTGGTTTTGGGTATTGATTTACCAAAAGGTTGATGTGATTGATTTGGGGCTTTATAGGAAGGACCGAAAGTATTTTTCGATGGTGGGAAGACATGTTTTACTGGTTGTGGATTAATGCGAACTGGTTAACTTGAAAAGGTATAGATTGTTTTCCAAAAGATTGTTGAGGTTTCAAAATTTGCGGATTGAAATTAGGATTTGGAGGTTTTTGGAAATGGTTAGAGGAGTTATTTTGTTGTAGGAAATTAGTTTTGAAATTATTCTGACTGCAGCGTCCAAATTTTGCAGATTTTGTACAATTAAAAAGGTTCTTTTGAGTTGCGGTCAACTCATTTTGATTTATCAAAATTGGTCGAGTCTCATCATTAACAATTTCTGTACTAATTTTTGTATTTTTTTGCGTCGTTAGTGCTTTAAGTTTTTGAATATAATCTAAAACTGTTTCATGCTTATTTCTAAATAAGAAAATGAGTTGCTGGTGTAAATTTGCTCTCGTGATTGGATCACTAAATTTTTGTCTTAATGATAATTTGATTTGGTCCCATGTGTTTAAATCAGGTACGGGTTAATAAAAAATCTTCCGCGGCACCAATAGTTTTTGATTTTATCGATAATAAATGATATTCTTGTTGATAAGCGTCCTTAATAAAATATCTAATGTATCGATATGCTTAATGAATGTTTCTAAACGTGACGGCGTTCCATCGAATGATTTTTTAAAAGTCCAACTATTGATCTAAGTGTCCAAAAATAGGAGTCACTCCTCCAACGGTGCTGGTCTAGCTTCTAAAGATTCTTCTTAAACTGTAGGTCATGACTAATAACGATTCATAATATGCGTAATCAGGTACGGCCATATAATTGACACAATACTAGCGACATCCACTTGACAATCTCCCATCGTCAGGATAAAAATTATTACTACTCATAACATCGAGTCCAGGCAGTGGATTGTCTCTCGTGGGGCCATCTATGGAAGAAAAGGTCAACTTCCGGAGACAAATGATTTAATACCTTTCTCGTCCGGAGTTGCATGTCTTGGGGCGCCGTCTATTTATTGAGAGGTAAAGAAACAAAATCGGGTTAAACTCTTGATGCAGAATCCTGGCAATGGATTGTTGCTGGTGGCGCCATCTATGGAAGAAAAGGTCAACTTTAATAACTTTGTCGTGGAAACGGAGCGTTTTTAACCGTTTTTAACCGTTCGCAAAATTGACTTGTAAACAATTAAAAAGAACACCTCCCACTATGTGTAAAAATTCTATAGTACGCATATTTTTAGTTGAATAATATTTCAGAGTTGCACGAAGCCACGAAGACAAATGATAATTTTTCATGATATCAGAAAATATCTTTTTTTTTACTTTATACTCTGCAGCTCGTGGATTTATCGTAGTAGCAAAGTGTTTATGAATTTCTACAAGAATTACATACCTTTGTGTTTCAAAATCGCTTTCGATCGTTCATCTTGTTTTGTTCGTATGCTACAAAAGTTTGCCAAAAATAGAATACAAGGTCCTCCGAATTGAAAAGGATATCCCAATTCCGTTTCTATTTAAGTAAAATTTGCATGCGTTAATCGTACAAAAAAAATGTTAAATAGAAAATAATGTTTTTTTTTCGTCAAAATGTCTTTTGTTTTGGCCCGTATCTGGCGAAGCACTATCCTCTTGCGATAAAAACTAGAATTTATTGAATGTATAAAAATGAAGATGGCCCACAAGGTCGCCCGTCGGGGTCTCAAGATCCGGGTTTTATGTGTTTTACACATTAACTTCTGCTTATTAACTGGCCAATCCGCATGATTTTTACAAAATTCTCGTTAGTTGCTGACATTTAACGTCGTCATCGCTATACAGAGCGCGTCAATCCAAGAAAGTGCTATGCCAAACGATTTCCTTTTCTACATTCAGAACAGTTTTTTTCGTGACTTTTTGGCCCTAATATTAACTTAATCTTGGTTAAACTAATGTGACCAAACAACCATAACGTTACTTGCACATTTAAATGCATGATATTTTTAGAATACATGCATCGAAATAAAAACAAATGTAAATATAGATTTTTATTGTCTGAAAAATTATATTAATTATACACTAATATTATATTAATATATTATAATAAGCCAGATAAGTTGCACGAAATAGCTTAGAATTAAATATTTTTAAATTTTGTGCTGGCTTAACCATTGGCGTACGTTTTTTTGGTCGGAACACTGGAAAAGTTGGTTAAAGTTTCCGGTTGCACTTAAATTGTTGTTAAATTGTTTTTTCCAATTGTTTGGATGCAATTAAATAATAATAACACTCCAATCAATGTCTCTCACTTTTAAGATATAATTAGTTTTCACTCCTTTTTTTCTAAATGTCATTTACAGTAAAATTTACAATTTTTTGGCAAAAATAATAATGAATTGGGGTTCCCCAGCTTTTGTGTCATAAAGGGCCGAACAAAAAATGCAGATATTGACCTGAGGTGTCTTTTACTCGATGAAAATCCATTTATGAAAATAAATAGGAACTAAATACACTTTCCATTTTCTACCTTTCTTTAGTGATATAATTTTATTTTATTCACAATTAACTTATTCAAGTAAAATGTTAACACCAAATTGCAAAAATGGTTGAAACGTACGTTTTAACAGAAATAATTCAATTCTAATTATAAAATAATCAGAAGTAAATAAACGCTATGCATTGCAATTGTTAAATATCTACGTAGGCGTAACAGGAAATAGATTTCATTTTATTATTTTTTATCATCTACAAAAGTATCATCTTTCACTTTTCTCAAATGGTTTGCTATATATATATATATATATATATATATATATATATATATATATATATATATATATATATATATATATATATATATATATATATATATATGATGACACTATATTCCGGGATATCATCCGTTCGCTTGTTGAACTCCGACTGGAATCCTGCATCCGACTGGAATCCTGCAAATCTTGCATCCGACTGGAATCCTGCAGACGTTTCGCCAAAATCTCACTTGGCATCTTCAATGCTCGCGCTCTGAAAACACTTCGAACACATATATATATATATATATATATATATATATATATATATATATATATATATATATATATATATATATATATATATATATAGTCAATTGTCGTCAAAAACGTGTTTTTCTGTGTGTGTGCATAATGAGAATCTTGACTATTGTTTGTAAACGCTCTTTTATGTTCGTTAATGCGTTTGTCCAATATTAATTTTTGGACAAGATCCGCATTTCAACCTGTAGAGACCTGATTTTTGAGATTTTGGACATTTCGTTTTATGGTTTTTTAAAAATTTTCTTAATGTGTGTTAGTTCTGAA